CCCAAGGTAAGGGCCAAAGTTCTCCTCTCTGCCCTGAGTGCCTACAATTCACATGGCCAGAGAAGCTAGGAAACAATGAGGATTCTAAGAGAGACATACATGGTCCCCCGGAGAAGGGGAAAGGGACAAGATCTCTTGAGCAAATTGGGAGCATGGGGGGAGGGGAAAGGGAGCTAGGAGAATGAGAAGGGGACAAGAGGATGAGTGAGAAGAATATGAGGGAGCAGGAAGGTTGAGTCAGGGGAAGAATAGAGGAGAACAAGATAAGAGATACCATAATAGAGGGAACCATTATAGGTTAAAAGAGAAATCAGGCACTGGGGAAATGTCCAAAGAGCTACAAGGATGACTCCAACTAACAATCTAAACAACAGAAGAGAGACTACCTGAAATGCCCTCTCCTGATAATGAGATTGATGACTAACTTATATACCATCCTAGAGCCTTCATCCAGAAGCTGATGGAAGTAGAAGCAGACACCACAGCTAAACACTGAACTGAACTGGAATCCAGTTGCAGAGGAGGAGGAGTGATGAGCAAAGGGATCCATACCAGGCTGGTGAAACCCACAAAAACAGTTGACCTGAACAAGGGGGAGCTCTTGGTCCCCAAACTGATAGCTGGGAAACCAGCATAGAACTGATCCTGACCCCATGAACGTGGGTGTCAGTGAGGAGGCCTTGGAAATCTATGGGACCTCTTGTAGTAGATCAGTACTTATCCCTTGTATAGGAATGGACTTTGGGAGTCCATTCCACATAGAGGGATACTTCCTGAGCCTAGACACATGGGGGAGGGCAGAACTGATCCTGACCCCATGAACGTGGGTGTCAGTGAGGAGGCCTTGGAAATCTATGGGACCTCTTGTAGTAGATCAGTACTTATCCCTTGTATAGGAATGGACTTTGGGAGTCCATTCCACATAGAGGGATACTTCCTGAGCCTAGACACATGGGGGAGGGCATAGGCCCTATCCAAAAGGATATAACAGACTCTGAAGACCCCCCCATGGAAGGTCTCACCCTCCCTGGGGAGCAGATTGGATAGGTAGAATGTTAGTGGGGGGCAGGGGAGGAGGGGAGGGAGAGGGAACTGGGATTGACATGTAAAACGATCTTGTTTCTAATTTAAAAAATGGGGGAAAAAAGAAATAATGATAAAATCCATTTTAATCATTAAATTAACTCAAGCAAGGTAGTTTAATTAACTTTAATTTTAGGAAAATGAAATAATGGAAAGAACCTCTGATGGCCAAATCATATCTGAACCCTAGCAAACACTATGAAAACCAGTGCATGAGAGAAAATAAAATAAACATAAAGATAGCTGCAAATGACACAGCTTTGGTTGAGTCTCTGTCTATGCCTCAAGTTCAACTGTTTCTGTATTCCAATAGCATAAGATGTGGTTATGATTCAGTCTTTCTGAAACTCCTCATTCAGTATTATTGATCAGACAATGGTAGTCATAGGAAGGGTGTTGCATTCCAACTTGAATTCATTTTTCAAGGTGGCTGCCATTAAACAGAAATTCAGAGACATGGGCCACATAAAGTGACTGTCAGCTGAAGAATTAAGAATTAAGAGCACTCTGTGCCTTAGTTACTTTCAAATGCAGCAAATGAAAGGATATGTACTTACATTCATTTTAAGAAAGTATCCATCACACTTATGTTTAGTGGGGGGACATGCATTGTTACAGTGTGTGTGTGTGTGTGTGTGTGTGTGTGTGTATGTATGTATGTGTGTGAAGGAGGGTAGGCAGATTCTCTTGTTTACCATGTGGTCCTAAGGAACAAACTCAGACTGTCAGGTTTGCCATCAAAAGTGCCTTAGCCTGTGGAGCCATCTCTGGCTCTCTACTATGGTTTTAATTAAATTATATTTTTAATACTGTAATCACCCTAAAATGTCACCACCACTACTACCCAAAATGCAATAGGTATTGTGAATTTAGTTCAGGTGTTGATAATCTCTCTCTCTCTCTCTCTCTCTCTCTCTCTCTCTCTCTCTCCACACACACACACACACACACACACACACACACACACACACCCCAATGTAGGTCCAGAAATGGTTTCACTGGCTTAGCTTTTATTGTTCATGAGGTTAGGCCTGGGTGAGAATTATTACAGGCAGGCCAGGATAATATGTGATTTCAGCTTCCTACTGGGGCCAAAGGAAGAGCCACTGGCTTTCCAAAAGCTTGTTACACAAATACATAGTAGAGGTTAAAGTGAGGCTTGAAGGGACTTAGTGACTACACATCAAGAGTTGAGTTTGAGTTATTACAGTGAGATGAACTATATGCCTGGCCTAGAAAAAAGCCTCTTTAATTCCGAAGGCAAACTATTTTATAAATCTGTATCAGAGGACAGATGGCAGATAACCTGGAATGTCCCTTAAATTTTCAGAGTTGCCTGGAATGTCTGCAAGAATTTCCTAGGGTTCAAAATAGGGGTCACAGAAACAATAGATTAGAGCATATCTCCCAGAGAGATCAGAGATGTAACCAGGAAGACCTTGCTTCTAATCATGCCTGCTCCAGAGGTCCAGAGGTCCATCTCTTTTCACTTTTCCTGTAACATTATTTCCCTATCTTTCTTCATTTTACTAATAGAAGCTCCCCTGCACCCTGGAGCCTTTGTAGGGTTTGTGTCTATCTGCATGCAGAGAACAGGCTCGAGGGGTCCTGAAAGCTGTGCAGTCAATACTGAGAGATTGACTATGGGGACAAGTGATGGGTAAAATGTCTTTAAGGGCAAGAGCTTTAACCCAACGTCCTTTTATTTCCAGACTGTAAGGGACACGAGACAGCATTGGCCATAAGAGAAGCACAGGTAGACAACTCTCAAAAAGTTTGCCTAACACCCTCTATGTATCAGCTGCTACGTCTGGATTGCTAAAGAAGACATAAACTAGCATCATACATAAACCATCCTATTTGGGGGTTTATGTTTTAGCAGCTGATCATTTCTCCAACTTACGAAAAAAAGAGAGAGAATGAAAATATTAAGGACTCAAGCATATCTTTTATGAACCCCCTCTCCCTGCTGAACCTTTGGCTTTTACTTTTAACAAGTATAACCAAAAAGCCTCAAATGGAACTGGCTGTAAACGAGACCTAAAAACTACATTCGACTTTCACAGATTCAGTGTGCTTACCCTCTCTTCCAAGAACCAACCTACAGCATACAGTTGCATGTATATTCCTCGGGCCTAGATGGATGCATGTGGTTAATATAAATTATGAGTATCAAACTGACAAATGAAAACTCAGGTTGAGTAACATGTTGATTTTCTTTTATTCCAACACAGACATATGTCCATGGGCTCTTAAGGTTTATGTGTTCTCTATAATCAGTTAATCATAGATAATTGGATGAGGATAAAACAGACTTCATCTCCCTCCGTGTGATGCCAAGACGATGATTCTGATTCCTGGTTTCGTGTTACCCAGTGCTTCAGAATAGTTCTGTGTTGCTAGGACAACAGGGACATTGCAACAGAAAACTGGGATTGAAGTCAAGGCACGGAAGCAGCCTCAAAGGATGTCATGAATAGTGTATGCCAGGCCTTATTCACAGTGAAACCTGTTAACACCTGAATTAGAAAAAAAAGAATAACTATTGTCTTCCAGAGGACTAGGGTTCTCTGCCAGCTTCCACTATGACATAAGAGGACAGTGATAGGTGGACTGTGAGTGAGGGAGCCATCAATTCACTTAGTGTTCAAATCCCTGTGGAAATAACTGAGGCGAGCCTGTCCTTACATCCCAATTTTATTCTAAGGGCAGCTTGTCCGAAGAGTGAGAAGAAAGTCAAGGTCAACGCTATGCTGTCAGTTGTTCTTCCCCTGAAAATGTGTGCCATCTCATCTGAATGAAGGCTTGATTCTGGGTGGTGAATGGATGGGTCTGATAGCTGCTGGGACTCACAGTTGGTGTTTGGACTTGGAGTCTATGAACATATGCAAAGGGGATGGATTCTGATGCTTTTTTTATGAGACAGGGTGTCATCGTGTACCTCTGGCTGTCCTGAAAGTCACTACACAGACCAGGCTGGCCTTGAATGCAGAGAGATCCACATGTGCCACCATGTCTAGCTTCAATGAACTTTTGAAGGTACAGAAAGCTCAGCGACAGTGGGGTGAGCCAGGCTGCCTCCCCAGCTCTGTCTGAGCAAACTGAACAAGTGCACCAGTCACCCTGCTTTAACACCAGAACATCAAGGCAGGGAAAATGAAATGTTTGAACAGACTTTGTTTTCAGTCCTAAAAGAAAAAAGAAAAAAATAAGGAAAACAGCATTTAACTATAAAGTGAAGAGTGTTCTTCATGTCATGTATATTCTACTGCACAGAGGAAAAACAATCTTCCAAAAAGAAACAAAAAAACTGAACAATGAGGCTGGGTACATGGCTCAATGGTCCAGAGCTTGTCTAGCATGTGTGACGCCCTTTTTTTGATTCCTAGAACTTCAAATAAAGAAATAAATAGCATGAACAGATAAATAAGAACTCTGTGCCCCCAGAGTTTGGACAGACCTTCAGAATTACGTCCCTCGCTCACAAAGTCATCTGGCCAGAAATAATGGCCACACAAAGGCAGCCAGTGAAGGACCCTTTCTCAGGCTTCAAAAGGAAAAAAAAATGGAGTGGCTGGAGACCAAGTTACCACTGTAAAATCCATTTTTCAAGTAGGAGGCAAGATATTATTTACTCATGGAAAATGGTGGTTATGCAGTAAGGTCAACGGCTCTGCAGATTCAAATGATAAGTTTAACCTAGTGGAGTCAAGTGAAAACCATTAGACAGACCCCTTTTAAATACCCTGGTGATCTAAGCATAAAAAAGAAAATAGAAAAGAACACAGAGCACTGTATTTTAATATTTGTAAGTAGCATAAATCATAATGTTTTGTATACTACACTATACAAATAAGATACTGTTGCTTTCTAAAGAAAACCAGCTTCTTAGAGGGTTTTCCAAACAGTTAGTCACTCCATATAGCTAAGAGCTTGACCCTTTAGCCACTGCTACAACACGTGGAATACAGGCAATGAGTCCCAGAGTCTTCCATCTGTTCCTGTTTCTGCTGCCACTGAAGCAGGTGCCTCTTGGAGGCCTGTTGTGTCCCCTTCCATCTCCTGTGCCACCAAAGTGAGCTCTACAGGGCAGGCGAGCGCTGACAGGCAGCCTCTGTGTTTGGCTTCCCACAATCCTTCTCTCCGTTAGGAGAACTTGCGCTTCTTCATGGCTTCTGCCTTGACAGCCAGGCTCTTGGCACAGATGGTCAGGACCACAATGAGAACGCCCACCACAAATGTCACCACTGGCCACAGGAAGCAGTGCAGGAGGACAATCTCATCATGTGTGCGGTGTAGGAGAACATCTTCCGGTCTACAAGAGAGTGGAGGACAGGGAAGGAAGAGCAGTCAGACTCAGTACAGCATCAAAAACTCTGCAACCTGCATGCAAGCTCTCATTCCAGCCCAAGGGGATAATCACCCTTGAATGTGAAGACTTTGATTGCAGACACCTTACTTTCTGCTTCAAAGCAATTTCCAAAAGCTGTGAGCTCTTGAATCAAGAAATTGGTGCAAATTTGCATATCACTTCTTATATCATTTGCAAGCTGCAAAATGTCAAAGGTATAGCATCATTTTGCTTTTTCCTCCACACTAAATTGCTTCCTTTTTGCCTCTTCCCCTTTAACCTCACTAGCCAACCGGCTTGGATGAGGCTAAATGTTACTGGTGGGCGGGCCTTCTTCAACAAACCTAAACTTGGTCTTGGCATTTAGATGGATCCCAAGTGATTTTAATTGGGGGGGGGAGAATTAAAGTTATTGTTCAAGTTAGAGTGACAGAAGGTATATAGCCCAAAAGCATGTCTAACCTGCAGTGTTGGCCACATGCATCCCAAGATAACCATGAATGCAAACCACCACACTGAAATAGCACTACATCACATCATAGCATCAAAAGATTGGGCGTTTCTAGTAGTTCTTAGGTCAACTGAGCTTTGCTATGTGAACCAAAGATTTTCTTAATAAAAACCTTTATTAAGAAAATAAAAAAGAGCAAGCAATGAGTGAACGGACTGCATAGTCTATGTTTTTGCATGAAACGTATCTATTTGTGCTACTGTCTGCTTTCTTAGTAGACCTTGCAAAGTGGCAGTAATGGATTTCTATCTTGTCAAGGTAAATATTGTTTCAATTTCTACATCTGTCTGTGATGGAGAGTAAAGATGAGACACGCTCCACAAGCCATGCTCAACCACCTTGGCAATTAGACAGACGTCTGGGAGTTCAATTTTCATACAAACGGCATTTATTTTATTAAATATTTGCATTTCACACGCAAGAAAGTTTACTCTGTTATCTTACTACTGTAGGATATGTACCTATACTTCCTCCAGAAGAAAGTTGCAAAATAATTTGTGCCATTATCCCCAAGAACATCAAAGGCTTCAGAGCCCAAGGGCAGTGCCTTTATCAGGGAAATATACCCCCCTGGGAGCTATCATTAGTCCTAGCTCTTATTTCCCAGAAGGCTGATAAAGGACACTGGGTATTTCTCTTTTTTTGTATAGTGGAAGTTGCCACACAGCATCAGCAGAAACAGCTGTGCAGGTTGGCTTTGAAATGACTGAATCCTTGTGCCTTCCTTCTTTGGTGCATAATTTCAATTTTTGTACCTAAAGTGAGACTCTAGTTGGCATTTCAACAAAATTTATATCAAATAAATGCAGAATCATTGTAGCAATGAGTCCCAAATAACCCTCAGCTTGCAGAAATCACTCCAGTTACTCCTATTGCAACCCATTGTCTTCAAGACCTGGACTTACCATTCGTTTAAATTTGGATCCTTTATTTTTCTTCTGTAAAATGCAACAAGGCTATGGCTTTGCCATAGTGTGTCATTCTACATGCATTTACTATTAACTTTTTGCTGCCTGTGTTGCAGCTTTATTATCCATATAAATATTAAAGAATGTATGCCTGAATCTAAAGGAGGAGAGGCCAAGGCCCCAGAGCAGCCGAGGCACAAGGCAGTGCGAGTCACTTTTAGTCTTTGGAGTCGACACTTCCAGCATTGCTTTGGCTCCCTTCCCAGTTATGGGTGCCACAGCTGGTAGATGACCCTACATCAGTGTGGCAGAATATTATTCTAAGGTGTGTGACTTTGCTTATGCTGCATTTGTTGAACTCTGTGAAGCTATGATTCTTTGCCTGTCTAAAACACCTGATGGTCTAATAAAGAGTTAAATGGCTGATAGCAAGGCAGGAGCACTGATAGGTGGGGCTGGAAGGCAGAGAGAATAAACAGGAGAAGAAATGAAGAAAGAAGAGAGCAAGAAAACAAAGAGAGGAGGATGTCAGGAGCCAGCCACCCAGCCACCCAGCCACCCAGCCACCCAGTCAGCCATGGAGTAAGAAGGAAAGTAAGATATACAGAAGAGAGATAAAAGCCCAGAGGGAAAAGGTATATGGGTTAATTCAAGTTAAGAAAAGCTGGTTAGAGCCTAGACACAAGGGTGTGGAGGTGGAGAGGTGCCTTGGTCCTGCCTCAACAAGATGATGGGACAGACTTGGTAGACTTCCTAGGGGAGGCCTTACCCTCTTCATGGAGCAGTGGAGGGAGTGGGAGGAAAGGAGGAAGGGAGGACTGGGATTGGAATATAAAAAATAAATTAATAAAAAAGAAGAAAAGCTGGTTAAGAAACAAGCCAAGCTAAGGCTTAGTATTCATAACTAAGAATAAGCCTCCAGGTGTGGTGTGCCTCTCAAAAAGCCAAAAGAGTAAAAAACATTTCACATAACAGATAAGTGTGCAAGAGAAGGTCCAACTTGTTTCCCAAGATGCTCTTTCTGGAACATACTATTCTATACCTTTAAAACAACTGATACAAAGAGGAGTTCTAGATTCTTCATCAAAAGGGTCAGATACATAGTGACATGCATACACTTGATACCAAGGAAAAACAAAGAAAATGAGAAGAAAGGAGATTGGGGTTTTTTATTTCTGTAGTAACTGCATGTGTAATTTGTGGAAGTAATGTGATTTTAGTAACTAACTTTCCAGTAAAATGCTTGTGTGTAGATGCTCTTTGGTATTCTTTCTCCAGTCATTATTTTGGATATTACTGAATTCCTTTATCACAATGTCAAACAAATGAGCCAATGAAACAGCTTCTATGAGGGATGCAGGAACTGCCATCCATATCATCTGAGACACAGTTTGAAGAGCACATGATGGAGAAAACGTGAAGGAAAAGGATTAGAGAGAAGGAAGCAACCCAAAATGGCTGCACCCGGAAGCTTGTTTTCCTCAGAAACTTTCTAGAATTCTATCTCCTTGTTCCTGGGCAAACAATATTTTAGAGCTCTAAGTGGCAAAATAAAATGACTCATTTGAGCTGAATTTCAACTGCTTTTAACAAATCCTTCTTTAGTGGTAGAAAAAATTATCATACACATTCCCTTAAAAACCATGCATGTCTGTTTTTACTTCAGACAGCTTGAAGATGCCCCATGCTCTCCTTGGATAGGGAAAACTCCTTTCTCAGGTCACAAGTCACTTAGCTATATAAGATCACCTTAAAATTACTTCTTCTAGCCTAAGTTTCTCTCATTTCTGCTGGGTTTACAAGTACCATCATTGGAGGTACTCTCCTGCCTCAGTTATCTATTTCCTCTGGGTTGGTTGACCAAAAACTATTTGACTCAGAATTCACTTTTCCCCATGGTTATATGATGGAAATGAAGAGGAACTTCATTAAATGTAGAAAAAAAAGTCAAACATGATTACTGTGTGCCTGGGGGTCCTTGCGGAGGGTATGGGAATTGTAATGGAAACTGAGTGAGGAAGGTAGAAGGATCACAATGGGAACCTTGAGAAAGGACTGTGCGGATGTGAAAGGGCACTGTTGAGATGATGACAACATCCTTTGTTGGTTCAGTGTTTTCTTACATCGGTGTTTACTAAGCACATGGTTGTAACGAGAGGTTCTTTTGCTCTTGTCCCAGCTGGTCCTGAGACCATTGAGCCCCAAATAAACACACAGATGCTATATTAATTATAAAATGTTGGCCAATAACTAGGGCTTCTTATTGGCTAGCTCTGTGTTAATTATTAACCCATTTCCATTAATCTAAGTATTTCCTCGTGGTCTTATCTTACTAGATAAGACTCTTAACTCTTTTGGTGGCTCACATGGTGGCTGTTCTGGTGGGCCCTCTCTCTGCCTACCTTTCCCAGAATTCTACTCATCCTCCAGTCCCACCTATCTTCCTGCCTTATTGGCCAACAGTGTTTTATTCATAACCAATAAGAGAAACATATATACAGAAGGACAACTCCCATTACATGGTGCCTGCCAGGCACTATGGCAGGACATTTCCTCTGTGTGTGTGTGTGTGTGTGTGTGTGTGTGTGTGTGTGTGTGTGTGTGTATACATATGTGTGTTTTCGTTTTGCCTGCATGTATTTCTGTGTGGGAGTGTCAGGTCCCCTAAAATGGAGTTACAGTTGTAAGCTGCCATGTGGGTGCTGGGAATTAAATCAGTGTCCTGTGGAAGAGTAGTCAGTGCTCTTAACCACTGACTATCATCTCTCCAGGCCCATGACATTTTATGTTATTCCATCTTCAAAATAACTGTGTTAGAAATTTTTAAACAGCAGCAATGGAAGGTATTAGTTTGCTTAAGCTCACACAATTTAAAGTAATAACATAAAAATTTTAAACCATATCTGTGTGATGTTTTTAAGCTGTGTTATTTATGTACCGTTACACCAGCTTTTCTCAAACTAGACTCAAGTGGTACTCGTTTCAACCCTTCACTCAACTCTCTCAGAATCTGAAGTTGTGGGGCCCAGGAGTTTTGTAGAAACTCTGGTGTAATTCTACTGATACTTGTGCAAGAAGCATTACATAGAGGTCTAATAATAAAAGAATGCCTAATGAACCACAGTTAGCCATTTCTCAGACCATCCAACACTAGTCGATACTTAGGTCCAGTTGATTTTTCTCAGTCTCCACATGATTCTATGTAGCATGTGTACTACTTGTGAATGTTTTACTATGTACCCTTGCAGGAAAAGACAGAGATCTAGAACAGAGGAGACACATATGGGGCAGGGCCAGAGGCTAAGAGTTGGAAATTCTGACCACAGTGTGGAATTTGCCATAGGAGACCTTGGTTCTCCTATGAGAACCAAGAAGGATGCCTCCTAGGCCAGCATCAATTCCAACAAATGAGATAAAAACACAGACTTGGGATGTATCATCTAAAATACAGAAAATCTATTCCCTTTGACTTTGTCTCATCAACTAGGAAAGGTTAGCGTCCATAGTACTTGCTCTGTTGGCCAGCCGAAAAAGAAAGAATATAG